GGGGGGGGGGGGGGGGGGGGGGGGGGGGGGGGGGGGGGGGGGGGGGGGGGGGGGGGGGGGGGGGGGGGGGGGGGGGAGGCCTATGTGATCACTGATCCGGACTGTGAGGCTGTCGTGTGGAGCTGGGGGCAAGCATTCTGCCGTGTTTGTGCTTTGTTGCCTTGTGCGGCCACGTCTGATCCCTGCCCTGCCCTTCTGCCTCGGTGTCACTGAAACGGGAAGAGACAGAAGGGAACTTGCCGGTGCTGGCGACTTTGATAGGATGGCTTGTGGGAGGAAGGGCGCTGATGCCTGGAGGTTGGCCTCTCGACCCCGGTTCGCTTTCAATTTCTACGGGTTACATAGTGGTTGGCTAGATAGTGTGGATGGGCAAGCAGCGACGTTTTTTTTGTTTTGGGTATGCCGATGGTGCACACGGCTGCATTGTCGAATCAGATGATGCCAGCTAAAAGAAGCTTACATACATAGCACTAGGGGAAAGGAAGGACGACCGGATACTTGGCTACCTACCTAGCAAGGGCAAGGGTCAGGGAGCGATGTGCTGCCAGAATAGAAGTCTGGGATGGATTGCTCCTTTGTTAGTCGAATTGGCCGTCCTCATGAGGGCATGATATGCGGGCTTGTGCACATCTATCTACTGATGGAGGCTTCCATTGAAGCTGGGGGGTGTCATGCGTGACAAGAGCGGACCTGTCTGTTCAATTGGCTATCAGGGCGGCTTGTTGGCATTTCTGCATGTTGAGTTGAATATGTGGAGAGGGATTAGGGGACTGCAGCGATAATACTACATAGGCAGTATGAGATAGGAAAGGGGAGGGTGACGCTAGATGGCATGGCAGCCTCAGCCGGGGGTGGTGTGGCATCCTACTTAGATAGATGCCGACCTCAAGCCAGACCGGGGATAGTTTGTGAGCCGGTGGAGGAAGTGGGAGATAGCAGGACGAGACCTTGATGTGAACGCAGGGGGAAGGTCTTGGGAGAGGGTTGAAGAACATCGTCCTGGCGGGCGTTTCAGCGAAGTTAAGGTCTGCGAACCCGCGTAATTGGCGTGCTCGATTGCACAAGGCAGACGGCGGCAGGGCGTGGACTGTGATGTGATGCCGGTGCCCTTGCTGATGCGGTTGAGCACGCACATGGATAGTTCATCCTGAGGAGAGATGATAGGGGTGTGTACTTCCTATTAGCGTAGGTGGTCGGTTGGTTCGCAGATTGCCAGATATACTACCTCGCAAGTTACATGAATAGTGCAAGTCTGGGAAGTGGAAAAAGGCATCTCTCTATCTATCGGTCGTGGTGCTGAGGGATGGGAAAATATGGGGAATGTGGGCGTGTGTACACGAAGAACGCTGATCAAACAAGCGAGAGTGTGTGATCAGGCCATGCCGGGTTTACGATTGGCCTGCGACCATCTGACAGGTCTCTGGGAGCGGCATATATCCCGAGAAACGTGCTTAAAGGGTTCGTTGGTATACCAGGTTGTACATACAGCAGGGAGAGGCAGAGAAGGGCGGTCTTGTCGACGGTGGTCGGGGGCCGCGGCGGTGGCAGCGAGCGTCTCCTTTTCGACAGACGGCGGTCGATGGATACGGCCGGTTGATATGGATGATGGATGGACCCTCGGTGAGGTGCGTGAGTGGGACCTGCTTTCGGGGAGGGATGCACTACGATGGATGACTCCGACGACCCTCTGGCTTGACTCATACGTGCGGGAGTCGTTGGATGGATGACTCTTGGTCGTCGCTAGAGCAGCAGCTAGCCATGTCCTCATCCAGCGGATGTCGGTCCCGTGGCAGGGGCTTTGCGTGCTCTCATGTACGTGTATCTTGAACCATGCCATGCCATTCCCAAACCATATCGATGTGCCTGGCGCGGTTGTGTCTGGCCACGGGCACGGTGTGTGTGTGTGCGAGGGCATGCAGGTGGGTGGAGAGGGGAGGAGAGAAGTGGACGGCTGCGAGGGCGAGCAAGCGAGAGAGTGTGTGTGGCAGGATATGTAGAGTGAGTTGTTTCCTCAGAAGGTTGCGTGTGTTGTTTGCGTGTCTGGGGAGAGAAGGAGAGAGAGAAGAGCAGAGAGGTTGCCTGAGGTGTCTGGACGGTGGAGGAGAGGTGCTGCGCTGTGCTGCTGGTGGCCAGTCAAGGGCCTGACTCGCCTGCAGGGTGCAGCCGGAAATGCACTGCGTAGCCTCACCTTTTGCTCCTTGCTACATGGAGCTACCGCGAGGTACCTGGGCCCTACGATGGCCTCCATCTGCTTTGGCTTGTCTCCTTGGCCTGGCCTGTCCGCCACTGCATCCCTCCCCAGACTGCACGATCGAAGCTTCTACCCGGTTCGTGGAGGGTACCTACATCAAGGGGTTATGCTGACAAAAAGAAGGGAAATTTAAGAAAAGCGCCAGAAACAAAGTTTCTAATCATACTTACATACGTGTCGCTTGCACTCCGCCTAGCTTCACACCATGACGAGAAGCACGGCGAGTATGATGCAACTCATGGGCGAAACGCTGGGACAACGACCCCGTCCCCAGTGGCCCAGGAGCCAGATCTGGCCTGGGTCTGCCCTCGTGAGCACCCCTTGGCACTATCCCCATAGCTTATCGCCAGCAATCCCATGATGCGCATCTCCTGATAAGCCGGCCAAGCCAATACAAGCACCCGATTCCCATCATCCTCTAGCTTGGCTTTGCACACTCCGCAGCCCGTAGTTCTGGTTGGCATGCCGCCGTTTGCGATGGCGCGTGCGCATGTACCTACATACAGTCTCGGTAATGGACTCTTGTTGCTGTCACCACTGAGGCCAGGGCCCGCCCAGCCACGAGTCTTCTCCTGCTGCTTGCTACCACCTTGCCTGGTTTCTTTTTTGGTTTGGGACATGATACCGAGTACCTTTGTGAGTGCGCGGACGCAACAAGGTTCCCGCTTATACGGGTGGATTTGGGGCATACTTGGTCACCGCGACATACCATGCGGTACCCCGTATGGGAGAGGCCTTCTCATGCAGCTGGCGAGTACGCCCTCGTAGTCGGGTCCAGCATGTAAGTTTCGAGGTACTCGTCGTGCTTAGATGGTGACATGAAAGGATATCCATGCCAGTGATGGGCGATTGGTTATCTTACCGCCTCTGGCTCCAGGGTCGGGGCCCATCTCCACGCAGGTCAGTCACAGTGGCCGTCCCCTGATTACGACGGCCGTGATGGAAGGGATGCGCTGGAACTTGGGGGCTCTGGCGCTGGGAAAGGTCCTGGGCTTGGGCTTGTTCTGGCTTGGGCTGGGCTGTGCGCACTGCGTCACGAGAGCACCCCCCTGTCTGTCGGCCCTGTCTCTCAGGCACTTAAATCGTCGGCTGCAGAGGGGCCTGGCAGTCTGGCAGCATCCCTGGCCGCCTATTTGGGGAATCCTCTAACCAACAGTCATCCATCCTCCACCCGGTGAGGTAATGTGCACACCCCCTCCCCCCGATCTAAAACCGATGTGTCGCACAGTAACTCGAGGTACATTGTCTCTTTCCTCGATAGCCTTTTCCCTTATGTCCTCTTCTTTCTCATCATCCCGTCAGTGACCTTTTTTTATTATTTTTATTTGGTTTTTTTTCTTCGATTCTAGCTTCTCTTCTTACCCCTGCCAGCCGTCCCTTCACCTCCCCGTTCTCCGCGTCTCCTCTCGTTTCTGTTTTGTACATGCTCTGCTCGACCTTCGCCACCCGCGACTGGCATTGCGCTGCTGTGCAAGACGTCTGAGCGCCTTGTACATACACCCCCACGGGTCACTCTCCACTTACTAGCTCCGAGAGAGCTGTAAACCAAACATCGTCCTAGACCGTCACGTACATATCACGCCTCGTTGCGACAAGCGAAACCGCCTGCCCTACCCATCCAGACAGCCATAACCCATCTGTCCTATCCCATCCTCCCAAGTGTCGGACTGTGAGTAGCCCATCAGCGTTCGTCCTGCCGCATGCATTCCGCCTCTTCCCTCGCTCTTCACCGTCGCCCGGTACCTGCCTGGGCCCTTATCGTCTCTTATCGTTATCACGAACCTCGTTGATCTCAAGACCGAGACCCTCCCCCAGATATAGCCAAGGCTAACTCTTGCTCGGGAACAAGGGTCCGTCGCTTCTTCAACGACCAACTTCTGCCTGCCTCCAGCTTGTCTGTCTCCAGCAAGGCACCAGCTTCCGACCGTCTCTCACCGCGCATCCTTCGCTTGCTCCATCTCTAGCATAGCATCAGTCAGTACCCGATCTCGTTGCCTTGGCCTCATCGCATCGCCCTCCCAAGCCTGTCCCCAATATTCCATCCAGAGCCCATCCCCGAAGACCTCCGGCTTGCTTGAGCAATCAGCACGCTACACTGCCAATCCGCATTGCCACAACGAGCTGCACAAGCACATAGCCCCCGAATCCCATCCTGGCCAGTTACACATCCACAAGACACATAACCTTGTATCATGCTTCTGTCCTCGAACTCTCACTGACTCAGCACCTCTTGCTCTCTGCAGATACACTCTTTTGACGTCGCACGCCCTCGGGGACGCCCGATCGCCAATTCTCGCCAGGATCAGCCCAGGATCTAGGCCTCCCGAGTCAACTGTGACGCCCGGGTACACATCCTCACCGACCATTCCTCCTGCCCCGGCCGATTGTTGTCTGCCTAAGTGTCCGGCAACCCCAACCCACCTATTTCGTCCCAGTCGATAGTAATCCCTCCGAGCCCGATTTAATCCCATCCGCCTTCAGTATCCAAAGTCGTTTACATGAGGAACCCATCCGCGACCGTAGCGCTCTCATCTTCATAAGCCTCCGGGCTATCACACACTTCGCCATCTTCCTGCCGGTGACAACTTCTACAGGAAGCCATGTCGACGTCGCGGGACTCGGCGTCGTCCCACGGCTCCAAGAAGCCGAGCCGACGAAGTGTTGGGGATTTCATCATCGAAAAGGAGATTGGCAAGGGGAGCTTTGCTCAAGTGTATCAAGGATGGCATCACGTACGTTTCTAGTCCACGCTACATCATGCACACCGAGATCTCATTGTCCCTGCTCCCCAATTCCCTAGAAGATAAATGTATCTCAAGACTCCAGAGCTAACATTCAAATCTAGAAAACGAGGGAGATCGTTGCTATCAAGTCTGTCGAGCTGGAGCGGCTCAACAGGAAGCTCAAAGAGAATCTATATGGAGAGATCAAGATCTTGAAGACGTTGCGACACCCTCACATTGTGGCGCTCCATGACTGCGTCGAGTCGTCGACGCACATCAACTTAATCATGGAATACTGCGAACTCGGCGATTTGTCCTTGTTCATTAAGAAGCGAGATAAACTCAGCACGCACCCGGCTACTCACGACATGGCTCGTAAGTATCCATGCGCCCCAAACTCGGGCCTACACGAGGTCGTTATCAGACATTTCTTGAAACAGCTCGCGAGCGCTCTTGAGTTCCTTCGAACCAACAACTACGTACATCGCGACGTCAAGCCACAAAACCTGCTGCTTCTGCCGGCACAGTTCCTGCGGGACCAGCGTGGTTTGCCAGTAATGGAGGCCAGCCAGAATTCATTGATTCCAGTTGCTGGTCTGGCTTCCCTGCCTATGCTTAAGCTTGCAGATTTCGGATTTGCCCGGGTGCTTCCGTCGACGTCGCTTGCCGAGACACTGTGCGGTTCCCCGCTCTACATGGCACCTGAGATTCTCCGATATGAGAAATACGACGCAAAGGCTGATCTTTGGTCTGTGGGCACCGTCTTGTATGAGATGGCCACTGGGCGCCCGCCATTCCGGGCTCGAAATCACGTCGAACTCCTCAGGAAGATAGAAGCTGCCGAGGATGTAATCAGATTCCCAAGAGAAGTCATCATCAGCCCCGAATTGAAGAGTCTTATCCGGGCTCTGCTCAAGCGGACACCCGTCGAGCGATTGAGCTTCGAAGGCTTCTTCACTCACCCCGTCGCGACAACTGACATTCCCGGACTCGTGGAAGATGATGTTCCCAGGTCACCACCGAAGATAGATACTGAGGTAGGAGCTGGGGCTGTAGCCAAGCCACCGTCGCCGCGTATTGCATCACTACGACAAGCTGGAAATGACCCGGCACAAGAGCCACGTCTCTCTATGTCTCCTCGAGAAAGCCGCCCACGCTCACCGTCAGGTGGCAGTCCTGGTCAAGCCCGGTTTCCCCGACGAGATGAAGCACTTCAGAGGCCCGGCAGCTCAGCACGTGATGAGAAGGAAGGTCTTGGGATTAGAAGACCCGGTCCCCCTCTTCATGCTGCTTCCGCCCCACCTAAGGCACGCGTTGGAGAAGTACCCGGTCGCCACAATACAGTTCCTGATGCGCGAGCCCCCGAAGCCCGTAAATCATCAGCCGGCCGTCGTCCTTCGGCTGAGGAAGAGAAAGCCGCCCAAGACGTTATGTTTGAGCGTGACTATGTCGTTGTGGAGAAGAGGCATATCGAAGTAAATGCCTTGGCTGATGAGCTAGCGGAGAATGAGAAGCTTGGGCATAGGGGTCAGAGCCTCCCCAAGACGGGCCAGATAGTACGACGAGCGACCCAGCAAGGAGCTCCAACTTCGACGACTGGTGCCATACCTACCCCGAGCTCTCGGACCGCGTTGATATCCCAAGGCCACGCTTCACACGACAGGAGATCCTCGTATGACAAGAGCCTTTCTGCCAGCCCAGGATCGGCATCAAGTGCCATTTCCAAGGCGATCCAGGACGCAAGCCTGAGGCTATTTGGTTTCAAAGTACCGCCACTGAGGACGGGAAAGGGTCAATCGCCCCCCCTGTACCATCCGTTCCCTGCATATCCAACTCCGACCTACGCTGGACTTCTCGGGGATGGAAAGGGAACACAGGTAGCCGACGAGGATATGGGAGCGGCACAAACGATTGAGGAACTCGCCACCCGCAGTGACTGTGTCTATGGATTCGCTGAAGTCAAGTACAAGCAGCTTGTGCCGATGGCGCCCTCAGCTGAACATGGCCTTGGCGGAGCCGACCCGAACCAGATACACACCGAGGAAGATGGACTCACCGTCGAAGCTATTGTGTCTCTTTCGGAAGAAGCACTGGTTCTCTATGTCAAGTCTCTCACCTTGCTTGCCCGCGCGATGGACATTGCCAGCGTATGGTGGTCCAACAGAACTCGTAGCGAACCATCCACTGGTGTCTCGGCTGCGGTGTCACAAAATGTAGTACAGCGCATCAATTCGGTCGTGCAATGGGTGCGCAGCCGGTTCAACGAAGTCTTGGAGAAATCCGAGGTTGTTCGTTTGAAGCTGACGGAAGCACAAAAACAAGTTCCCGAAGACCACCCCAGCCATCCCTCCAACCAGGAGAGCAGCTCCATCTCGTCTTCAGCTGGTGGGTCAGGAGTTAAGCAGGTGTTCCTCACGCCCGGAATCAGCGCCGAGAAGCTGATGTTTGAACGAGCTCTCGAAATGAGCCGGGCGGCTGCCATTGACGAAGTAACGAATGAAAACCTTCCTGGCTGCGAGCTCTCCTACATTACAGCAATCCGAATGCTTGAGGCTGTTCTGGATGGCGATGAGAACGTGCCGCAAAAGGCCTTGGAATCTGGAAAGGATACGAACAAGGGAGCTGTCGCAGAAATCGACAGCGACGAGGAGCACATTAAAACATGTAAGTTTGGTCATTAACACAGCACGAACGGACGCTAACTGTTGAGAAAAAGTGATTGCAATGATCACCAAAAGGCTAGTGTCAGTTCGTAAAAAGCTGCAAATGATTGCTGAGGCAAACAGGGCCCAGCAAGCATCACCACACCTTGGTCATCGCCGAAGCGGAGATGTGACGCCCCGAAGCGTGCCCTCGTCTTAATAGAGCAGCGATAGGCGTATACGTTATGGTGCATTTTCATTTTGAGGGCAAGTTCGGCCTATGCCAAACGGACTCGAATTGATCCTCGGACTTCTTTTCATCCGTCCTATTCTTTTATTGTCATTCTTAACCCTTTATTTGATGCTTCTTCGGGACACACCGTCCCATGTCATGAAGCCGGGCGTTTTTTCTCTTCATCATCTCCTTTTCGCCAGGGTTTGAGAATTTAATATATCATCGGCCGGCGTTATATATATCTTTTAACGGAATTGTTACAGATTGGAAGAAACCAGGAACTCGACTCCCCTCTATGCACACGGCCCGAGTTCGATGGGAGGCTGGGAGAAGAGGTTGCATGACCAGACCCAAACTCACGAATCATTGGTCGGCCGAATGGTGTTTTGTTTTATTGATTACTAGCAAAATGACAGTTCATCGCTTCCATGCGATGGCTACGAGTACGGATCGAGAGTGTAGAATTTACGGAGTTTTTTATTTTTATCTTTTTGTTGCTTGTTGTTTTTCAAATCCATTTTTCAGGTCTTCGTTTCAACGGCGAACTGGGCACATGATGGTATACCACTTATGGTTCACGGTCTTTAGGGTCACAGTTTGACATCAGATACTAGGTTTGGTTCATGTGAGAGTGGCGGGAGATCTCCCGCCCTCATCTTTCTTTCATTGGACAACGATTATTGCTAGCTTTGGGTTTCAGTTCCACGTCCTCCTCAGGGAAGCGTGCTAAGCAGAATTAACCATATAGCGTATGAATAGCGATGTATGCCGCAACTTGTTAGGGACCAGTTGTTCTTGTGATCTAGTTTCAACTAAACTTTGTTCTTTTTTACAGCACATGCTTACTGTCTCGTGTAGTTCCGTGTTTCCTTGTGAACAATGGATGGAGGACATGGGCACGGAGCGATGTTCAGAAACAAGGGGAAGGTGTTGGCACGACCCTTTAAAGGAAAAAAATATCTTACACAATTCGGTAGCTTTACTGCTTTACCTTTTTACGTTTTCCGCCCTCAGCCAGCATCTACATTTCCCCAACTTACCATAGGTCCTAAAAAAAGAGTAGGAATCAGGAACTTTTCTCAGCTAAGTGCCCCCTACCTCCAATTTCACAAGATGAAGAAGGCAAGAAAGAAGGGACCGCCGTCGCGGCTGCTGATGCCGATAACGGTGAAGCGGCACAGGAGCAGCGACTCGGAGTCGTCGCTGTCGGACAGCGTCGTGTCCTCGGAGCTGGACGGCGAGTTCCCGCGCTCGCTTGGGACGCCCCAGACGCTTGAGTCCCTTCAGTTGCCCGAAATACTTGAGCTGCTTGAGATGCCTGAATCGCCTGAGATGCCCGAGACGCCTGAGACGTTTGAGGTGCCTGAGATGTTTGAGGTGTCTGAGGTGCCTGAGATGCTCGAGACGCCTGAGATGCCTGAGATGCCTGAGACGCCTGAGACTCCTGGAATGCCCGATACGACTGAGGTGCTTGAGATTCCTGAGCTGCCTGATACGCCTGATACGCCTGAGATGCCTGATACGCCTCCGTCTCTGCCTCCGCCTCTACCTCCTCCTATCCCTCCTCCTCTCCCTCCGCGCCTGCCTGGTACACCTCCACCTCCGCCGCCGCAGCCGCCACCGATGCTTGCTGCGGTGCTGGTGCTGAGCCGCGGGCTGAGGGAGCGGGTTGGGAAGGATTGTGGGAAGAGCGAGGATAGGAAGAGCGTGATTGTTTTGGACGAGGTGAAGAGTGATTTGGGAGGGGATGATGAGGGGGAGGTGGTGGCCCCTAAAGAGGAGGAAGTGACAGTTGAGAAGGACGAGGTAGTGGCCCAGAAGGAGGATGTAGTGGTCCAACAGGAGGAGGAAGTGGCCCAGAAAGAGGACATGGTGGCCCAGAAAGAGGAGGTCGTTGCACAAAAAAAGGAGGCGGTGTCCCAGAAAGAAGAGGAGGTGGTGGTCCAGAAAGAAGAGGAGGTGGTCAAGACAGAGGAGAAAGCGGTTACCCAGAAAGAGGAGGAAGTGACAGTTGAGAGGGATCCTATCAAATGGGAGAGGAGGAAGCTCAGAACAAAGAAGGAGAGGCAGAAGAAGCTTGTGACGGAGAAGTTGAGATACTTCGAGGGGATTCCATGTCGGGAGGGGGAGAATAAAAAGGAGTTAACGGGTTGGAGCAGGTGGGAGGAGAGGGAGAAGAGAATGCCTGTGGTGGTGCCGGAGGGTGCCCAGGAGAAGTGTCTGCAGTGCAGCGTGAGGCGGCTGAGATGCACGCTGACGAAGAAGCTGATCGCTCCGAGAGGGGACGGGGTCTGGAGAGAAGGACCCTGCTGGCGATGTGTCCAGCACGGGGATGGGCACGAGTGTCTGGTGAAGCCTGGGCCGGCGGGCTGGGAGTTTGCGGAGAAGGACTTTACCGTGCTTCCCTACGACCCGACGGCTGACTTCTATGCCAGGGTCACCAAGGAACGAGAAATCGAGCTGGTGAATTTCAAAGACGAGGGGAGGCAGCGAGAGATTCTGGAGAAGTGGATCGAGCGGGATGAGAAGGTTGTGGTAGATACCATAGCCAGCTGCACCGGCAAGGTGAAGATATCCGCATTCGCGCCTCCTAGACCTCGAAATCAAAAGGAACTTGAACCATTCCCATACGAGGAAGGTGCTACTGTTATTCTTAGACGGTCAGTTTAGGGTAGGTGAGCAGGTAGAGTGAAGCATTTTGGTGTAATTCTTGTGATGCTTTTGAATGTTAAATCGCTTTGAGAGACTACCTTAGGCACGACCTCGCCCTTGTATAGATATATGTGGCCGGGTACTAGAAGAGATGACAATGCTCATCAAAGATAATGCAAGACAGCTCTATTTCGAGCTCATCCGAAATACACCCCTCCGAACAGTCAGGAGCCTCCTCACGGCGATGATGCCGCACCTAGGGATCACAGCTGCTGGTTCTGTTGAGTCGTAAGCGCACTCGTTGTAGCGAGGACCCCGACTGTTCGGAGGGCTGTGTCTTGAAATGAGCTCGGAATAGAGCTGCTTTGAGTTATCTTTGATGAGCATTGTTATCCCTTCTATGAGCTGGTCACTTACACTGAAGGGGCCCTGGGTAGTAGAGATGATGAAATTGGATGTTAACATGGCCATTGAACTTGGATTGAGAGAGTTCGTTGCGGTTGGTGGTGAAGAGCATCCCCTGGGGGCCATGGTCAAGTTATATACTGCCCAGCCCTTGATAGAGTTTTTTGAGATGCTGTTGCCTATACCGAGGCTATGTGTGTAATCATCTAAGTTTTATTAGTCTAGAAGGTTGAAGTATAGACATGATTTATGTTTTTTTATAAAAGCCTATGTAATGAAGCCATAAGTGTGGCCTGATCTTAGGATATCCCTTGCTTATGGCGATCAAAAAAATCAATTAATCAATATAAATTTATCACTATTCATTTCTAGGGAAGTCAATCTTCACGAAATAGGACTTATATGGCTATCTTGTAAGTATACCGGGTTAAATCTGGGAAAGCCCCTCAACTTATTCAGATGTGAATGAGACTGAGATCTACCCCCACTTACAGAAGAAGAGATACCCGGCATGAATATCAGCACCCACATGACTGATCTTCTTTGCGATTTTTGGAAATAAGCCCATAGAATTCGATACTTATTTGATTAATTTAATTAATCCCCCAGTATCGCAACGATGCCTCCCCCCCCAGATCTTTCCGCCTACCGGCTCTCAGCCGGCGAGTCGGAGGCCATCTTCAACTCTGAGATCGTCCCACAAGATATCGCCCCCTTACCGCCCTCTCCAAACCCCGGATCCCCTCTGGCAATCCTAGCCGTAGGCCAGACCGGCGCAGGCAAGACCCGCCTCTGCCCGGCCCTCCTCTCCGCCCTCGCCGCCTCCAACCGCAAGCCCGCCCACCTCATCGCCGACGTCTACAAGACGCACCACCCTTCCTACTCCTCCATCAACCCCAGCCACCTGGCCTCGGCTGCCACGGGCCCGGACGCGCGCATCTGGCTGTCCATGGCCGTCAGGGAGGCTGCTCGCCGCCGGCTCGACATCCTCCTCGAGAGTGCGTGCCGCCATCCTTCCGACTTCACCTCGTTAGCCGAGATGTTGTCCCGGGATGGTTACCGTGTTATCGTTGTGTTGTTAGCCGTTCCCGCGGCGCTCAGTCGGCTGGGGATCCTGGCTCGCTTCTATGGAGATTTGCCAGAGGCGCGGTCGAGGGGTCTGCCGCTGCGGCTGACGCCTGTCAAGGTGCATGATGATTCGTACGAGGGGCTTGTTCAGGGCGCGGAATGGCTGGACGGGAACGACGTGGCCGAGCAGGTGGTTGTTGTACGGAGGGGGAATTTGGTTGCCTATGCGGAGAGTAGGGACGGAGCTGGCAAGGGAGGTATCGCCGAAGCAGTGAGGCGAGAACGGAAAAGACCACTTACTGAAGAGGAGAAGAGAGTTGTGTTGAATGATTTGAAAACGCTGGACTCTTTACAAGAGGCTGCTGAGGATACTGCCCTGGTGAGGAAGTTGCTTGAGCCCCTTATTGATGAGGACGCGGGATCAGAAACGTTTCCTGATTTACACCCGCTGGAGTTTTCAAATTCTATAGATGCAACACATGAAGGATACAATATACTGCGCATTTGATTGTTGGTAGGTAGAAGCTGATATACTAAGTACTGACTCCCTGTAGTTCAATATTATAGAACTGCAACATATCATGCCGTTCACATTACTGGAAATTGAAACACTTCTCAAAGGCGGATTCAGATGCCCCAACGGAGGCGAGGCCTTGAAAAAAGGAGAGGAAATGTACTCTCGTCCCTAGCTTCGCCCATCTCAATTACTATTATAAGGTCATTTCTTCGTGTAGTCAAGTGATCGAAAGATTATGGAGTGCCCGTTCACAAGAGCAGTTAGAGAGTAGCTGGGGGGAGAGTGTATGGGTCGCTAATACTGTGGTCTTGATCGGTTAGGAATTTCGAGTTTGTCTTTTTCAGAGCCTCGAGAACTTGTTCTCTTTGTCCCTTTCGCAGAGGGGGTTGCAGATGCTTTTGGAGCCCGGTAAGAGGAAGAAACAGAGCGTCGCCATGTTTGGCAACAGTTATTCGCCTCCTTTTGGCACTTAGCTGGAGTGCTGGTACTTTGTCATGTGTTGGGTGAATTGAGATGCTTGTTTTGGCTTTGTCCACTTTTTGACCTGGAAATTCCATTTGATCCATATAATTTTCGGCTGTGTTTGTCCCAATGTGTTTATAGCAATGGTTTTCGCCTCGGCGAGTATCATCAAAATGATGACTTTTTGTTAAAGAGCCATGGCGCACTGGCCAGTGCTCTTCGGAGCCACGTCCAGGGGAAGGATCGTGGTTGAATTCTCCGGTAGATATTGAATCTTCCAAAGCCAATGGCATAGGTCGGAATTGCTCTGGATTCTGCCACTCAGCCAACATCTTCTCATCTAGTTGCTGGAAAAATTTCAGTTGTTTTTCAGGCGTGGATAGCCACGGATGAGAACTTGCCAAAGCGGTAGTTAGTCGCTCTTCTGGGTTAATGCGTAGGCATCTCCGTACGAAATGCAAACTTTTCGAAGATCTTCTTGGTGTAAGTTTCTCATTGAGATCGCTAAGATATTCGTCGAGAACTTCCTGGTCCAACCGAATGAGCTCACTGAGCTGGTCGTCTGTAGGCGGAACGAGTAAAATGAGTGTGATGATACCCATGGACCAAATGTCCACAGCAGATGTCTGTATCGACCCAAATACAAGTTCTCTGAAGAAAATTAACCGAATGAATCGTTGAGGCTAGGATGGGCTTGGGGCTATTCACTTACGGGGCTTGATAACTTGCTGTACCTACATTGCTTGTCATTCTATTGCGGCGAGGAACAGACGAGGTCCCGAAATCAGACAACATCACTCGATAGTGCAGGAGCTTGGGAGAAAACGCAAGGAGGATGTTTTCAGGCTTGAGATCACGGTGGACAACTCCTCTTGTGTGGAGAAATTGTAAGCCACTGGTAACTTGCCATATAATGATGCGAACATCAAATTCGTCAATCGAATTGTGTCGATAAATAAAAGACATCAGATCGCCACCTGATGCGAGCTCCGTGAAGGTATATCTTTGACCGATTAGCAAACAACTTTTCCGAGAAAATGAAGGAGGCACGGGGATTGGGCGTACAATGTGTGGGGTGAACTCATACAATCCACGTAGGACAGAATATTCGGCTACGCTATTTTGTTAGCAGCGATTTAGAGGCGGGATGACGGTGGTACAGACATGATGCAGTTGACGAAGTATATCTACCTCTTGGAACCTGCGTTGGACTTGCTTCGTAGCATCTCGACCCCGGAGCTTTTGAAGGTTCACTACCTTGCACACCAACTGTTTTTTGGTCTTGGTATCCGTAGCTAGGTGAACACAAGCTTCGGCTCCTTCTCCCAGACAGCGATTGGTGACGAGATATCTGTCAGCAAAAAACTATATACTCTTAGTATGCCTTCAAATTTTTTTTTTTAGTAACAGGAACAAAGAAATCATGGATTGAATACCTTGCATTCCTCGCTTTGAACACGGGTGAACTCATGGCGTCTAGGGTGGTCAGTTTGGAAGAGCTTGAACTTCCAGTAAGGCCGCAACTCTATCTCATCCCCCTCATCAAGAAGATAGCCTGGTGTTACATTTGGACCAACACCTATCAGTGTGCCGTTGACATATGTGCCGTTGATGGATTTTCTGTCTCGGACATATACATGATTGATGGATGTTTCGTAGACGACGACGTAAATCTCACAGTGATTGCGTGACACGGTGAACTCTGGATCGCTGTCGATGGAAAATGTGCTTTTTCTTGTCAGGAAATGCCACAGTTAGCAACTGGAAGACGCTGGCCTACTTTGATTTTGCATCACGTCCAATCTTTAGAAACTGATGTTCCCAAATGGGGATTGAACCTGACCATTCTTTAGTGGGCTATTCCTTCGGCGCACCTGTCTGCCCACGTCGAATTACCTTGGGATTCGGATCCGGTTCGAGAGTCGTACACTTGAAGATACCCAGCGATCACGTCGTGAGAATCTTCTTCGCGAAGCGCATGGCCCGAGGTTGTCCCCATGGTCAGTCCGAAACAAGCTTCTGGGACAGCTCTGGCTAGTGTTGCGCTGAGTGTCTTCACAATTGAACATCAAAAGGAAAATAAAATGTGGCAATCATATGTGTGGTATGGGATAGATTTAAATTTAATCATCTTAATTGTTTCACTTCTTTAATGCTCCGAAGACTTCCCTTCTCTTGTGGACTGAAGCAACAGCTTGACCTTTGCTCCTTCCCTACCTCCTCCAAGAGCTCCCTCAGCTGCCTTAGGTACCCACTTTTAGCATCGAGAAGGTTTGCGTACACAGTGTTATTGCACAGTTTTTTATAATTAGCACGGCTTTCCCTCGTCCCCGCACAGGTACCGACGTCGAAAAGTGCCCTCACGTGATGTGCGGGGGTTTGCAACCCTACAGGCGCCTGTGACTTATCCGTCGCAATTCCTCCCCTCCAATTTGGTTGTGTTTCCTCATCCCAACACGATTCTCATCCACGAACCAGTAAGTTGCCCGCAGCCCTGCACGTCATCGCAACGAGGCAGCCATTGATAGGAGCTCAATTATCGCATTCTCATTGATGGCTGAGAACCTCGTTGTCGTCGCTGTCGCATCTCGAAGCTTGGAGCTCGAAGCTAATTCATGATCCAGACGACTCGTTCAAGATGAGAGCCAAATGGAGAAAGAAGCGCGTTAGACGCCTTAAGCGTAAGAGAAGAAAGATGAGGGCTCGATCGTAAGTCAATTGTCACTGCGTCTTTCCAAGGAATTCATCATTGACATCATCCACAGCAAATAAGCGTCTCGCCCTAGACCCAGACCAACTGCATCTCTCATGAGTTCAAACAAAGAACAACCCGCGCTAGACTGATACAACAACCTTGCAATGGACGACGCAAAAGTCTTAAGTTGTTTGGAGGAAAACCACTGCGCCATCCGATGGCTGTACTTGGGGTATTACCCGGTGAAAGAGAGATGAAACGACAATACGAGGGAGGTTTGGACAAGTTATAGGCGTTTAGGATCGACCAGTTTCAGGGAGCAAACTTCCCGTGAAAGAAACGCTTGGTAATGCAGTCTACCATAAGATTGCCGAAAATAAAAAAGCAGAGTTTGCTCGTGATACCTGTTTTGTTCTTTGTGAAGTGTGTGAAGTGTGCTCTTTATGATCGTTGCTCGCGTGCCAATATTCATATTCAGAAGCTCTTTGTTGTGGGCGTACGCAGGGTCGCGGAACGCGATGTGATGTACTATCTATCTGGCTATTATTGTATTTGAAACTACCGACTCAATTAATTCCCATTTTTAAGCACTTGCTGCTCAACGATGCGCTTGCCATTGCCATGAGCACATCTCGACACAGCTGTGGAAATTACAACAGCTGAGGAGCATACATTCCAACCGACCTCACCTCACCTCACTGTGACGTCGCTCATAGTAGCCCAGGTTTTTGGTTGGTGGGGTGGAGACTTGCGCTCAGCTTTCACCGCCCCGGCTGAAGCCCGGCCCATATTTTTTTTTTCTGCCGCTGCAACCAGTCTGATATGAGGAAAAAAAATCCCAGCCGACAGCCCACCACTCAGTTGCTGGCCGTCCAAAGGAGAACGATTTGAGCACCCATCCACCCCCCAAAACGATATCTTAATGGCGAAACGAAAGAGAGATGGCGAGTCCTCGGCCAAGGCATCCAAAAAGGTTGCCATTGATGCGCCCGCAGCATCTGCCAAGGTTTCCTCGTTCCTACAGTCATCCGAGTGCCCTCCGGTAATAGGTATGCTCAACGTTGCGCATATTTTGACTTTTTTTTTTCGCGGGCTTTCTAACGAGTCTTGTAGCTAAACATCCCGGAATCAATGTGCCAACAAACCTTTCATTTCAGTCATATGCCCCGAAGGACTTGGTCAAGTCCAAAGGGAAATCGAGCAAATCGCAAGGACAGAAGGAGCTCTTACTCCACTCGATAACTCACCCCAATCTCGACTATACGGCAAAGGAGGATGTGCCGCGGGGATCCAAGCCTTTTCTGAATCACTATGTTGGGGTTTACGACCCTAAGACTGGCAAGATGCAGGTCATCGAAGCAAAGAAGATGGAAGTCCGTGGCATTGTCCGATCAAAGAAGGTGCCGGAATCAGAGGGGGCAGACAAGGACATCAAGCAGGTATGTAGACCTGCAGCAATATTACGGAGACTGTCCAATTGGAGGCTAACGGCTTTGCAGACTTTGATGGAGCTCAAGGCAGACCTAGGTCAGACCTTTGGAACAAAGAAGGCAAGGAAGGCTATTCAAGATACGGTGATGAACGCCATTTCAGCACCGAAGAAGCCTGGGGAGGACACGCCGGCAAAGATCGACAACGCCGCTCGCGCTATGCTCCAGTCGGTGGGCAACATTACTTCGACAATGGCCACCCGCGAGGAGCTCCAGGCCGTGGTCGATGAGGCCAAGCCTGTGCCCATCGCAAACGTGGATGCGGACGACATAATTGACGTATACGACCCGAAGACGATTATCGGGGGCGACATTCTTCACCTCGTTCCCGTGCGAGAATGGCAAGAAAAAGTCCAGCACAAGGAGAGCATCCAGGTCGTGTCGCGGTTTGTGGCCGCCCGCGTCAACCACATTGCGGCCAACGAGGATGCCACGACCCGGCTGCGGGTGCTACGCTACTTTTACTTTGTGTTGCTCTTCTACCTCAACACCAAGCCCGGGAAGCAGAGGGGCATCCGGCAGCTGCCACCGCGAGAAAAGCTACGAGAGGCGCTGGCCCCGGCACCCGAGGCCGTCATCGAGAACATCCGACGCAAATTCTCCGACGCTGGGCAGATGCGGAAGTATCACATTGATCTCTTGATGACGCACTGTTGCGCATTTGCGTGCATCGTGGACAACTTCGAGGTGGACACGCAGAATCTGAGAGACGACTTAAGGGTGGACCAAAAGACGATCAACTCGTATTTCCGTGAGATTGGAGCCAGGGTGAAGCCAGTATCGAACAAGGCAGAGGGAAAGACGTTGCAGCTGGCTCGGTTGACGCTGCCGCTCGATTTCCCGAAGCAGAGACACATTGCTCCCAAGAAGCGATAAGAAGACGTGCGAATAAGATGAGGGGGGGGATTCGAATTGGACGAATTAATGGCCGCATTTTCTTTCGAGACAGATCACTCAGTCCGAACGACACATTACCATATAGACTTGCATTGGGGGTTGGATGGGTATTTTTGCCGCTGAAAAAAATGAAACGGAGTGAGTGAGTGTGTACTGTAAATAACCAGGCATGGCATATTATTATCGTGTTGTTCTCTTGCTTCTGCTACTGCTTTTGAACCATTGAGTGGATGTGAGTTTGGGTATGAGTATGAGATGGTCCTTGGCTCGCCACTAATTGATCTAACCATTGACCCCAGGCGAGGAAACGGCGAACTCACTCCAAAACACAAAGCAACATCATTTTCCGCACGACATAATCGACGTACACACTGCACTGGGACTGCCGGGGCCCGGTTGCAGAGTTGGACTCCGCCCCCGCAATCTCGGCCCCCGTTAACAACTTTAGGCCGAGGCATCTCGGGAGCTTGATTGGCTTGATTGGATGTTGGATTGAGTAGCTCGCATCTTCCCCCTTGTAGTGGGGTTTCTCACCTCGGCGTCCAGCGTTGACAACATATTGGTGAATTGGCGGTTCAGGTCATTCTTTATATTCATACTGGGATCCCCGTAGCCAGCTGTTAGGCTTGTCTCTGCTTCCATCTTGCTGTTTCCCTCATCTCTCGCACTGCCCTTGGCTATATATAGCTTGTGATATAGGCATACATGCCCCTGGAGTATATGTAAACCACACAACCTCTTCTATCTCACAGACAACAAAATCAAGATCTCAAAGACAGTCATCATGGCTTCAGAACAGAAGAGCCCCATCAGCCTAGAGTACAAAGGCCGTGTCGCCATCATCACCATCGACAACCAACAGAAGCTCAATGCTCTCAACCAAGCAGCCTACTACGACCTCGCGCAGAAGCTGCGAGAGATTGCGACCCACGACGAGGTCTTCATCACAGTCCTCCTCGCCAAGGGCCGCTACTTCTCAGCGTAAGCAGCCCCAAGCGATGAGCCAGCTCTAGCCTCATCTTTACGCTTCACAAGTCAGCTAACTGTTACACTTAATAGCGGCGCGGATGTGACCATCGCGAGAGCCACGCCCGCAGCCGGCGACGTGGACATCCACAAGCACTGGCTCCAGAACTTCGTCGCCTTCAACCTCAACATCACCCACGCCTTCAGCACCCACCCAAAAATCCTCGTCGTCGGCCTCAACGGCCCCGTCGTCGGCCTCTCCGCCGCCATCGTCGCCTTCGCCGACTTCATCTACGCCGCACCCCACACCTTCCTCCTCACCCCCTTCTCCTCCCTCGGCCTCGTCGCAGAGGGCGGCGCCTCCCGCGCCCTCGTCCAGCGCCTCGGCCCCGCCCGCGCCAACGAGGCCCTCATCATGAGCCGCCGCATCTCCGCCGACCAGCTCGTCCAGGCGGGGTTCGTCAACGCCATCTTCGACGTGGAGAAGGGCGACGACGCAAGGTTCCACGAGCTCGTGCTCCGCGAGGTCGACGAGAGGCTGGGCGAGCACCTGAGCGGGTCCAGCCTGCTGGGGATCAAGAAGCTGATCCGCAGGCCGGAGCTCGAGGTCACCAACGAGCAGAACGTGCACGAGGTGTTTGCCGGGCTGGAGCGGTTCGTCCAGGGGATCCCGCAGGAGGAGTTCCGCAAGATCGCGAGCGGGGAGAAGAAGCATAAGCTGTAGGTGAAGGCCTCAGTTGTGTTTAATAGCTTGGAGATTAGATATCTATTTATTTACACTCTGTGTGTGAGCGGGTTTGAATGAAGAAACATAATGCGCTGGGCTCTTTTTTAGAATTTTGAAATGCGACTACCAATCTATACATACAGTCTATTACGCTAACAATCCAAAGAGCAGTTTGGTTCGCTGCCAGAAAACATCTGCAGACTTTTTCATGCGCTGCCGCGATGCTTCATCAAGACCGGTCTGCCTCACAAGTTTTGCCTCAAGATCCTCCAGGTAGGGTGATGAGACCTGGTCATCCTTTGTTTTACCATCCTGCTTGAGTGCGAGGGCCTGCTGCAGGTATGCCACATCGTAGAGCCACTGGATTTGCAGGTCGCGCTTCCGCTCATCGGGGCTTGGTTCGTCGCTGTCCGTGTCATCCTCCTTTTCGTCCTTCTCTTCCTCTTCTTTCCCTTCTTCGGTCTCAGATTTCTCGCCGTCCTTGGTGTTGGCGTCGTCCTCATCGGCCTTCTTCTTGGGCCTTTGGTGGCCTACCGAAGTAGTCTCGGATTCCAGATCAGCCATGGTCATATTCCACATTGCCCCCAGCCTCAGAGCCAGAAACTCTTTCACTGTTTTCACAGCCCGGGGGCTCCATAGATCACTCCCAGCCTCGCCCATTGAATTGGTCAGGTCACGGAGAAATGCAAACGTCCCCGGTGATGGTTGGGTTGGTAGGGGCGGCTTCCCTTCCCACAAAGCACGGATTTCGACATTCCTTTCTGATAGACCCGTTGATGCAAAATTATCCAAAACCTTTATCGCCACGTGCTCTGTCAGTTTCTCGTGTAGAGATGGAACTATGCCCAGCCCAAAGCTCTTGACAGACCCGAGAGCGGGCAGTTGGTTGCGGATGTCTCTCACTACTCTAAGCAGATATATGGAGATATGTTCGGCGTTGGGACTTCTGGCATGCTCCTCCCAGAGCTTGGTGAATTGCTGATCGAGTTCGAGGAAAGCTTCGCCGAGTGATGAATCAAGCTTTTCTTTTAATTTCTTGGGGTCCTCTTGGCTGAGAATTTGTTGTCGGGCCTGGATTGTCTCCTCGTCCTCAACCTCATCGTAGTCGTTGTCCCAGCGTTGTTTTTCTAATGACTGTACTACCTCTCTCACGTCGTCAATGACATGGAACCAGGATCTGTAACAGTTCAGTGCCTTGGAGACGGCGTCATTTCGACCAAAGAGTCGAGACACAACCTCTTCTATGAATGGTGCCGCGCCGTCGGAAAGCGCTGTATCGTAACCTTGCTCGCCCCAAAGACCGTGTCGCTTGTCGGTGATACCACTTCGCCAACTGTCGAGCGTTGAGCTCACCTCGGACCCTACGATCCGGAGCTTCTTGACCTTGGCCTCCAAGACGGCGAGGAGGCGTCCGTTGATGACTTCACGTAGATCGTCTTGCATATCTGCGGGATCGATGCCTTTTGCCTTGCCACCTTCGCGAATCCATAGCTGTAAAAGACTAGTTCTCAGCTCCATGATGGACTTGAACTCGGACATGTGCTCCATTGAAGCTTCGACGCCCTCTAAAAGAACCCTTTCGCCCTTCTTGGCCCAATCAAATAGCATTTCCCTTGCTTGCTTGCCGTCAAGGTCGTCATGACGAATGAAAGGTGTGAAGTATTCAATGTCTTCGCCACACCATCGCCCATACACGTCTAGTCGCAATTGATCGAGCTGCCTCAGTGCTGGCTCGGAAAACAGTGGCTTACTCTTCAACGCGGCAACGGCCTGTGATAATCTGGTCGGTACCAGAGCTTGAACATCTAATATACTTTGAGTATACAGCCGCAGGCCCTTGACAATGTCCTCGTTCCGTTTCTCCCGCTGGCCTTCCTCAAGCTCAAGTGTGAACGCCATGGCTCTGCCTCTGATGTTAAGAAAGTATCGCAGGGCATCTCTAGCACCCGAGCTCGATGCAAGGCAGTACGCACAGAGCACCTTTAGGAGGTCCTCCCTATCTGCATCCTCAACCTCGGAGGAGAGGGCCTTCTCCACATTCCGCGTCAATCGATTCCGCAGACTCCTCAGTGATTTGTTTGAAGCTTCGATATCGTGCCGCCGTGGGCTCTCCGCCACACTGGCCCCAAAGCTCTTGTTAAGCAGCCGACAGAGCACCAGCAGCTTCGCGGCAAGGACCAGCCTGTCCCCTCTCGTCGCCGAGCCGTGAATCTCACCGCCGGCCACGGCCCCCCCCTTGAGCAGCCGCCCGATAACCAGCACAGAAGCCCCCAGCAGCCTGGCCTTGGCATCCTCCTCCAGCTCCGGCCTGTCGGCGCCCTTGACGAAGTCCGCCAGCCCGCTGACCTTGTCGCCCACGATGGCCCGGCCGCAGCGGCCGCCCATCTGGCCGAGCAGCTCCTGCACGGCGACGTTGTCGTTGCGCATCTGGACTATCGTGTCCGCAGTGCCGAGCAGCTCACGGTAGGAGCTGCCGACCTGGGTGCGGAGGCGCGTGGCCTTCTCCTCGATCTGGACATGGAGGGACTTGTGGATGGCGCGGATCTGGGGGAGGGTGTGGGTTCCGGAGAAGATCTCGGCGGACGAGGTAATCGTGGACGCATCGAAGACGGACATTTTTGGTGGTGCCGCTGGCCTGGTTCGCAGCCCAGGGCGGAGGTGAAGCTCTCTTCACTGCGGGCTGCGACGGCGAGGGTCGTTCGTGGAAATGATACTATAATTGGGAGAGCATTGGGAACGGTTCGAATGGGTATCTCTCAGCTGCGAATAGACAAGCTGGTGGGTGTCGTGGTGTTGAGCTTGAGCGAGGTGGACAGATCTGACTATGGCGTAAGGTAGGTGTATAAGTAAATTGTGGGTTGGTTGGCGTGGAGGGACACTAAGACAGAGGGTTCTTCAGCGCTTGGTCCAGCGCCAACCTTACACAATATCAATCGACACGCAGGAATCACGGTTATGAAGTGAATCTAAAGTGGAAAACCCCCAGGACATAGAATCTATTGGATATAAAAACAATACACATCGCCATTTTATATATTACGTTAGCGGGACACTCTTGATCACCCGTGTGTTGATACCAGAGAGCTCTCCTTGGTATCCTCCCTTGGGCTCGCCGCCCTTCCATGTCGGCTTCATGCTGCGCAGCTTCTTCTGCCTTGCCTCGTACTGCATTCTCCTCTTGACTCTTGGGTTTCTGACTTCCTTCTTCCTTCTGGGTGCGAGACCCTTGTTCTTTTCAATCTTGTAGGTGATCTTTCGCTTTCCGTCCTCCCCAATCTCTTCGTCCTCCACGACTCTGTCAGCCTTGCTGGCAGCAGCATAGGCGGCATAGCGTGCTAGCTTGTCCTCCTTCTTGCCCTTGGCCTTGTGTGCAACCATGTCGTAGTATTCGTCCTCATTATTTCGGAGAGACTTGGCAGCAGCTCCATCGTCTTCGTCGCTGTCATCTCCCAGGTCGGCGCCAAGCTTGGATCCCTTCTTGCCTCGCTTCTCTGCCTCGGCAAGTAGACGGATTTGGCGATCCTTGAGACGCTCTCTGTAGGGAATATCCATATCACCACCAGCATCGCGACCAGCACCAGCACGGCGGTTGGCCTTTTGGGTGATTTGGGAGGTGTAGAACTTGAGTGACTTCTTGCGAGCAGCCTTGTCAGCGGCGGTGCGGTCATCCAATGTCGTCTCTTCTCCAAAGTCTGAATCTGAGTCTTGGGCTGCTTCCGCCTTCTTGGCAGGTTTCTTCTGGCTCTTCTTCTTGGACGAGGTGCCAATTGGCAAGTCGTACAGGTCTGCAACGGTTTCCTCCACAGCCTTGGCCTTCTCCAGTTTCTTCGCTCGCTTTGCCGCAGCAGCCTTCTCCTCCTTGCTCTTTGCCTTCTTCAACTTCTTCAATTGAAGGTCCCCGTTCAACGAATCGGCATCGTGGAGAGTGATATCTGCATCCATATCCAGGGCGGCGGTTGAGGACTTGAGGTCCTTGACTTTTCGCCATGCCTCACGACAGCTGAGAAGAGTCTCCATGATCTCGTGGTCCCGTAGTTCCGAGGGGTCTAGTGACTTTTGTGCTTTGCCTGCGTCTCTAGCCGGTGAGGTCATGACCGCAAAGTAGCTTGCTAGAGCGGCAACATAGCAGCCGAGGACCCAGTATTTGACATCGCTTAGAGATTTACCAGTGCTGTTCTTGGTCTCGGCCTTGAGGGTCTCCAGAAGAGGGTGGTGCACTTCCAATTCCTTGACGAGATGCTCAAACTCGGGGTATCGAGCCTTGAGAAGTTTGTAACGTTCCTCGACGCTCATGTCGTCCGTGACCTCGATGTCCTTGAGAACCTCGGTGACCTTGTCCTCGCCCTCTTCACCCTTTTCGGGCTCCGCCTCCAGCCACTCGTCCTGGTCAAAAATGAAATCCTCGTCCGTCATCTTGGAGAGCTTCTTCTGTTGCAGGCGCTTGGCTTCGGCCTCCTCCTCCAGAGCGTCAGCCTCGGTTTCGATCTGGTCGGCGTTATAGTACTCTTTCCTTGAGGATCCCCACCAGCCTTCATCGCCCTCTTCGCCTTCGCCCTCGCCCGCCTCCTCCTCCTCCTCGGACACATCTGCCCTTGATCCACGCTTGGCTTTCTTGGACTTGGCCTTGGGCTTCTCATCTTCGGAGTCGGATTCGTCGTAGCCCAGAACCTCCTCATCGGAGAGCTCAATGTCATCGTCGGCTCTCCTTCGGCGCTTGGAACCAGGCTCATCATCTAGCATCAGGTCGTCGCGCGCCAGAAAGAATTCGTCCTCGGAGTTTGCGACATCCTCGTAGGTTGTGATGGGTCCCAGACGCGCATCGGCATCGTTAACCTCGCGGGGACCCTTGGGCTGGTCGCCTGACCGAGGTGCCTTTCTCTTCTTTCCCATGTTGATTTTTTTTTTTTAGAGAGGGGAAATATTCTGACAAGGGAACTTGATCTTGGTTGAACTTCACTTAGCCGTAGACCGGTAGTACTTTGGACGGGCGATTAGAAAATTTCCATGGCTATCTGATAAGATAAGGAATTTGCTTATCGAGTCCCACAGAAGACAGAAGCTGAAAGTACAGGAATATGTGGTGGAGCAATCGGGTACCTGGAGTACCATTCAAGTACTTTAGGTATGAGGCCGCCTACTTCCACCCTACCTAGGTAGTCGGCAGGCGCTATCTGCGAGCTGCGGGAAAGATAGACGTCCTGGAACTATCTGAATGAAGATTGGAAATTGAGCCAACTCTCAATAACGAGCCAACTATGTCAACACGCCCATTCAATGCTGTGAGGATCTTCCTTTTTTCGTATTCTGCCCCAGAGCATCACGTAATTGTACATACCAACCTACTGATTATCCCGCACTTCCAAGACAATAGACGGCGGTTTGGGCGCTAGAATTTGTCGTGTGACAGCGGTTGTCCGTCGTCATTCTGCAGCCAAGTGCCTGCTCCACTCGGACACTGAGGTGGCTTGCAGGGCCGGTACATTAAGGTAGCGCTGCTTGTGACCCGTGGGGTTTGAAGTACCGACCATCTGGTCGATGTGTAAAACTAATACGATGTAGTTTTGGAAGTACTGAGAAGAGAATGCCAGGACTTTGGTAGATACGCTCCGGCTCAAATACCTCCATGGCGGTCTCCAACAACAACCGACTCACGTTTGTCGGCAGAGTCATTGGCAGATGCTCCAGTGTCTCACTTCAGGTGTTCAGTTTAGCCACGCAGATAGCCTAAGCCATCCTCGGCCTAGAGCTACCCCATCTCCGGCCACCTGAGCATGGGTATCCGACCCAACTGATGAATGAAACACTGCGCTGTCTGGTCCCCTAATTGTTAGGTTCCTGTCAACGCCGAGGATGAAGTGGAGGAAGAAAGCGTAATTACATTAGCACGAGGGGCACGCTAGGGCGCTGTATCTTCCCGGGCACCCTCACGTCAAAGAGGCGCTTCCATAGAGACGTTCCCAGCCAGTGGCATGGCCTTGACATCTATTCGCCTGCCTTGTTCAGGATCTTGGGACAAAGACCCCTTTGTGAGGAGCCTATTGGAGTTCGCAGTCTCGGAGGCCTTGGGTGGCGAGACAGGCCAACTGACTGGTGGAGGGGTCATCTGAGATGGGATGCAACCATGCGGACAGGTCATGGGTGTGGATCTGTGCAGGCTACCCTTTGCACCTTTGACGCAATTCCAATAATTCTGAGCCTCCCACACTCCCTCCCGTACCCTCATACCCACATGCGCGCATGCGCCTCCCTCACGTAACTTCCATTTCCCCAGCCTTGTGTGTCCGGGGCCAATTCGTTCTTCATAGTCCTTCCTTCCTGCTCTTTTTGAGTTTCTGTTTCTCATTGTTTCTGGGGCATGCGGGACCTGGACAGTCAGGTCACCCGTCCAAGTCTTCCACGCCTCCAGACACGCATTTAGACTCGTTGCTTATCTTCTAGCCCAGGAACCACCACCAGGGGATGATATCATTTGCTCAACCAGAAACCCACATCGACGTGCCAGACCGACCTGCGAACCTCACATCCAAATAACCACCTAGGATTTTCTTCCGTTTTGCTTCACCAGGACCGCTGTGCTATCGAATGGGAGGCCTACGTGCAGGAGACTCCGTCTCCCAACCTGTTTCCCCAATGTCGCACCGGCGGCGTGGTATCCTGAGTCGATCCCACTCTTCGCAAAATGTCGAGGGGTCCGATGAGTATTCACCGCTGCTTGGAAGGTCGAGGTCACGCATCAGCGAGGCCGGCCGTCGCCGTGAACGGAGAATCCCTGGTATGCTCTTCACTAGCTGTCCCTCAGTTCAGTCCTCCACTTAGAAGCTACTCATTCTAACACTCCTTTCTCTCCCTAGCCCCAGGAAACAATTCTAGAGCCTATTTGGATTCCCGTAATCCCTCATGGCAGTCCCGGGTGATGCACGCCTTGGCCGACCATCCTAGCTTTGCCGAGTCCAAACGATCTCTTCTCTCCGACGAACGAGTATGGTATGATCAATTTACAAGCACCGATTGGGTCCATGACGCTATTGCCGACTCTCATCGAGTCAAGAACCTACGAGCAAGAAAGGACTTTTGGGGTCGCATTCGCGTGATCCTCGATGGTGTACAGGGGTGGATTCTAAGCGCCTTGTCTGGTTTTGTCATCGCCATAGTCGCCTACACTGTCAATGTTTCCGAGGGCGCGGTCTTTGACTACAAGTTTGGATATTGTACGCGTGCCTGGTACGTCACGGAAAAGGTGAGCAATCATGCCTAATAGGGTGGGCGCCATTACGTTGTCCGCCTCCAATGCATGGTTTACAAAACTGACTCACGATGCTAGAAATGCTGCCCCAAGGGCAAGTGTGAAGACTGGAAGGAATGGTCTGATATCTTCCAGAACGACGTGCTGAGTACAACATGGACCGGATTCGCTATTTACCTCGTTGGAGTAGTGTCACTGGCCTGCCTTGCATGCTACGTGACACTCTTCACTAAAACCGTTGTCCCTTCGTCATACCGCCTGGCCACACTAGACGAAAATCTTGGTGCACAAGATGTCTCGACACCGCCAGAGGAAGCATCGACTGACGACGACGTAAGTACCCCTCGGCAGTTCACTGAATCGGTCCCCGAAAACCCGCCGATGGTCTATTATACTGCGGCAGGCAGTGGTGTCGCCGAGGTCCGTGTTATTCTGAGCGGATTTGTCTTGCACGGTTTCCTTGGTCTCAAGACATTGCTGTTCAAGTCGTTTGGGTTGATTCTGAGTGTTGCATCTGGCTTGAGTCTGGGCAAGGAAGGTCCCTATGTCCACATTGCGACCTGTATTGGTAACATTGCCTGTCGACTGTTTTCCAAGTACGATCGGAATGATGCCAAGAGACGAGAAGTTCTTTCCGCAGCAGCCGCGGCCGGAGTCACTGTCGCATTCGGTGCTCCTCTAGGCGGTGTTCTGTTCAGTCTAGAAGAAGTCTCGTACTTTTTCCCACCAAAGACCCTCTTCAGGACCTTCTTTTGCTGCATCATCGCTGCCCTCTCACTGAAGTTTCTGAACCCATACGGAACGCACAAGATTGTCATGTTCGAGGTTCGATACCTCGTTGACTGGGAATTCTTCGAACTTTCCAGTTTCATATTGACTGGTGTCCTTGGAGGTGCCCTAGGAGCGCTCTTCATTAAGGCCTCTAAGCACTGGGCACAGAATTTCAGATCAATCAAAATTATCAAGGCGAACCCGATGCTCGAAGTTGCCCTGGTGGCGCTCGTCACAGGTATCCTCAGCTATTGGAACGTTCTTACGTCCCTTCCTGTAGCCAAGCTTCTGCTGAACCTGGCCGCACCTTGCGATGACCCTGCCGTCGATCGGTACGGATTAGGACTGTGCCCTAGTTCGGTAGAGGACATACCCGATATCCTCGTGAAGCTGTCCGTTGCATTCTTGATCAAGTCCTGCCTGACGATAATCACATTTGGTATCGTAAGTCAATTAGACACGCCCCGTTCTAGAACGATGGTAAGCTGACTATGTACAGAAACTTCCTGCGGGCATCTACGTGCCATCCATGGTGGTTGGTGGTCTCCTGGGCCGGATTATCGGGCACCTGATGCAGTGGCTCATTCTCGTGACCCCAGACTGGCCCATTTGGGGCAACTGTGCCTCGGGTGCAAATGGAACATGCATTCAACCTGGAGTATACGGACTTATTGCAGCTGGCGCTACGATGTGTGGTGTCACTAGGCTCTCCGTCACTCTTGCAGTCATCCTTTTTGAGATTACGGGCAGCCTGGACTACGTACTTCCATTCTCTCTCACCATTCTGGTTGCAAAATGGACAGCGGATGCGATCGAGCACCACAGCATCTATGTAAGAATCCACTTGATAAATTCATCGAGTCCCTTTTCCGACCAGACTACCTAGCTAACACGCAAACAGGACCTTCTAACCAACATGAACTCTTACCCTTTCCTGGACAACAAGCACAAGCCTGTTTTCACTGGTGATTTGGCCGATATCGTTCCCCGAGCTCGCCGAGAGCGGGTCATCGACATCAGCGATTCTCCAATGATCTCAGCAAAGCTCCTGCGAAAGAAGCTCGAGTTGCTTCATCGTTCTGGGGAGCTGGACGGTGGTCTTCCCATTCTGCGAGACGATGTCTTGACCGGATTGATCCCAGCGCCAGACCTACAGTACGCCTTGGACCAGCTAGAAGATGAGGCAACCAGCTGGTGTCTGATGGGCTTCCCGGAGCTGACGGCCGGTGATGGTTATGACGAGACGCAAGAAGAAGACCCGTGTGATTTTACCAAGTTTATCGACCCTGTAAGTTGCTGCTCCCCAAAGAAAGTACGTCCTTCATCTCCGGGCTAACACGTCAATCGGCTAGGCTCCCATGGCACTGGATATCAGATCACCAATGGATTTGGTGTATGAATGCTTTGCAAAGCTTGGGCTCAGGTACATTTGTGTGCTAAGGGACGGCAACTATGCCGGCATGGTAAGTACAGTGCACGAAATCAAGCACACTTGTTTCGAGTCGCTCTTTTTAGTAAATACTAACACCTTGTTCAGGTTCACAAGAAGACTCTGGTCAGATTCATGCGCGAACAGGAGGAAGAGCAATACTCTATCTGAGAAGAGTTTCAATTTTGTTAAAGGCCTTGTGATCATTCATCAGATCATATATAAGGCTAGAGGTGTAGATTGACTTTCCTATTCTTATCTCCCCCGTTTGCTTCAGGGGGTAATGAAATTGTATGGCATAGCATCAAGGAGTTCAGGGAACTGCGCGAATGTCAGAGCGTAGTATTCATAGCATTTGTTAGCGACTTTGTCGTTTGTTTATCTAGATTATGCATGGCTGGTCACGCGGATTCGCTTCAATCCGTTCAGGGTTTAGATAGAAGCTGCATCTCGGTATCAGGTTACCACATGATTTATTAGCGGGTTGATAGACGACTCATATTTCAAAGGTTATCATTGTTCAACAACTGATATTCTACGTCCAAGCTCATACAATCGCTAGAACGAAGATGTAGGCTTCCTTAGTCGTAGTCCACCATGCCTCATCACAGCTGAGCTCCTTGCTACCGCCTGATCTTGCTGTTGGCTTATCGACATATCCCTAAGAGCATCCCCCAAAGCACAGGCTTTGGAGCTCCTTGGGAAGCCGCTGCAACGTCTTGACTTGCATATCCAGTGATCACCGAGACCCTGATGATTAGTGCCCAAACGGCGATGATACACATGTGCATCCAAACGCCGCCCTCGGGCTCTGGTTGGAGGCATGGGCCTCATGTACTTTGAATAGCAATAACAACCGCAATAATGAGCCTATAACAACCCCGCTAGTGTGGTGAATATTGTAAATAATCTCTTGACTATTGGGCTAATCGCTTTTGATCTCATGAGGTTCAATGTCAGCCGTCTTGATGCGCCGCAGTCTACCTCGCTCACCCGAAGTCTCAGCCAGTCAGCCGCAGGACAAGAGGGCGATAGAGGGGAGACTGTGAGGCACCAAGACCTGTGTAGTGGCTGGATGACGATTGAGTCTGGACGGCAGCCAAACCTTGTTTTCAGGATATGGGTTGCGAGTCACAATACATGGAGGAGACGAGAGCTTCGAGGATGAGCAATAACCCAAGGTTTAGAAAGTTGTGCTTATTGTGCTGAGAGCACCTGATAGGCATTATTATGCTATGGTAGTTACTCGCCGTGTGGGTAGCTCGAGTGTGCCCAACAACAGGCAGCTACGTGCCTTTTTGTGAACATTGCGGCAGAGAGGGTTGAGGTGAAGAGCTGGGCTCGGACTGATAACCTGACCAACTATATCCCCCCCCCTTTTCCAACTCCTTTATATTTCCTTCCTCACGCCCAGGTGTCTTCGAGCATCAAAGACCTCCAACCTTCACGACGCCCCCCGTCAAGGTGAGATCATGTACTCGACTTTCACAGCGCCCTGGCAACCTTATCCAGCGCGTCGATCAAAATATCGACATGCATCTCCCGCAGAATCAGCATCGGCCTCAGCCGCACGGCCGAGGTGCCACTCCCGCCGATATTGATACCCTCCGCCTTGGCCCGGGCGAGGAACTCATCCCGCTTGGGACTGTCAAACGCAATGAACGTGCCCTGGCCCTTGCCCCGCAGGTTCCGGAACAGGTCCGGGTACCGCCCCGCGAGGCCCTCGAGCTGCTCGTACAGGTACGCGCCGACCCTCGCCGTGTTCTGGACAAGATCGAGCCGCGCCACCTCGTCGACGATGGCGCGGAAGAGGAGCGCGCGGGCCGGGTCGCCCATCCACGTGTTGAACTGGCGGTAGGGCCGGTTGGGCTGCAGGGACGGCTGGCGGTAGTAGTACCCCGCCGTCTGGGCCTTCTTGGAGAAGGTGACCATGTCCGGGGCGTCGTCCTCGTCCAGCCCCCAGTGCTCGTGGGCCCAGAACTTTCCTGTTGCGCCGACGCCGGTCTGGACCTCGTCGACGATCATGAGGACGTTGTGCTTCTTCGTGAGGGCGCGGAGAGCCCGGAAGAAGGACGGGCTCGCGTGGTTATCGCCGCCTTCGCTCTGGATGGGCTCGACGATGAGGGCGGCGGGGGGGAGGTGCCACGTCTTGATGAGGTGCTCGACCTCGTCGAGGCTCGCCTGCTCGGCTTTTGCGTTCTCGGCGGCGTGTTGTTCCAGCGGGTACCTGAGCTGGGGGAAGGTGGCCTGCGGCCAGTCAAAGGCCGGGATGTCGAGCTTGTGGATAGGTTTTGAGCGAGTCGTGGAGAGGGAGCCGAACAGGCGGCCGTGGAAGCTGGTCTTGAAGGAGAGGATGGACAGCTGGGACGACCCGGGGGACTGGTTGTTCATGACGGACTCGAGCTCCTGAGCTGTGAAGTCGACGTCGTACCCGCCGCGCTCCTGCTGCCGCCGGTGCATGAAGGCCGCCTTGTAGGCCAGCTCGTTGGCGTCGGAGCCCGCCAGGGCCGTGAAGACGTGCGGCAGGCCCTTGGGCGCCACTTTCAGGATGCCCGTCTTGAGGATCTCGGCCCAGTCGTGGGATGGGAAGTTACCGAGGGCTGGACGGTTGATCAGGGCTCTGATCATCTCGGGTGTCGCGGCCGCCTTGGCCAGGGCGGGATTGTTGTACCCGATGGGGATGGAGGCGATTTGCGCATACCTGGGCGTGTGTTCTTGTTAGCAACTGGAACAATGATCTCAGTTGGGTGCATGCTTACACATCTAGTAATTGGTTGCCATCCGTATCGGCAATATAGTTGCCAAAGCTCTGGGTGTAATCAGCCAGGAGGCTCAAGCTCCGCGTCTCAAAGACCTCGCTCAGCTCCTTGATGTGCTTCGTGCTCTGCGGCCCGGGGATCTTCGTTTTGAGGACTGGCCCGCCAGGCTCACCCTCATAGAATGGCTTCTGGGCTGCCCTCAATGGCATGCCTGCCGTGAAGCACCGCCTCGAGGGGCAAGTCACGGCTCTGGCCGTGGCCCTCGGGGCCATGCTGACGCGCAAAGACTGCATTGCTCCGTGGCGGTTTCCGTTCTGCTGGTCTTATCTCTCTGGCAGTTCCCCGCCTCGCACTTCTCTTCCGTGATTTGGACGAGATGGTGGATGGAGGAGGAGGGGGAGGGAGGCCAGCTGAGACAGAATTATACATCATCTCCATCCATCTGCCTGGGCACGACAAGACGGCGCTAGTCTCCGATGCTCCATCGCCTCGAACCTTGTGCCGTCTCGATGCTGTTGCGCATCCTTTCCCGTGTTTGCCTCACACGTGGTTTATCGAGATAAAGAGACATGTACCTCTCCCCCATCATGTGGGCGTAAGATACATGGCCGCGAAGTTCGTGCGGGGGTGAGAGAGTTAGCTCCCAGCTTGGTATGCATGGGCTTCACAGTGTGAGGGCCCGATTGGCTCGAGCATCCCAATCACTGCATCCAGATGACGGTATGGCTTGAATCTAGTCTGCTTTTACGTCCGGGGGCGCAAGCTTGGGATTGGCTGGTCGTCGGGCGTGTTCGAACTGCCTTTGAAATATTGATGCCCGGATTGGAAGGTTGGAGAATCCATCAGCGGAGATGGCAGCCCTGGTTACAACTCGATTCCACGTCGCATGCTGGTTGGGCTTGTCATCATTCAGTTACTGCGCGGCTTGGATTCACAGTCCCTCCCCGACTATTGAGATGTACCATGCCTTTCGGCCGCGATTATGAATTAGATATTTATAAATAGCAGATGATGCTCGCTGGACGTATGCATGCCTATCTCCAATGCTTTCCAACAAGTGCTTTGCCGCTTCCGACGCATCACCAGCACAACCAGACCAGCCCGTGTGCGTTGGTGAGTTGTCCTTGTCGGCATGATGAACAAATTCTCTTCTACCGAAAAATTCTAGCCGTCAGTGCTCATTGTAGCTCGTTAATAAGTTAACAAATATCGTGGCCAAATAAATAAAGCATATTTCATCGTGTTTCTAGCCAACATGCAGTCAGCGTCGGGCCCAGCCAATCAGAGGCAGAGTCATCCAAGACGTACCTTAAATACACAGTCCATCGGATACTTAGACAGCTGAATAACAAATGTATCGTCTCGAAAATCGAAGGGCAAGGGCAAGTTTCCAGAGCGAATATATCGTTCCCTTGGGTGGATATCGTATCCGGAAACATATGGTTGAATATATATAAGAACATCTGATCAAAAGGGCGTCCAGGCTTCATTCCACGACAAGTCTCTTGAACGAGGAACCAGAGCTAGCGGTCTGCTCTGCTTTGGCAACACAGCTGCCTGCGCGGACCGGATCCTCAGAAGGAGACGCCCCCAACCTCTTTCGGGGGCTATTCGATGACCTCGCTGCTGGTATGTATGCTTCGGGGGGAGTCATTGGTCGAGACTCGGAAGGAGATGCTGAAAGCAAGGAAGGGAGCGTTGGTCGTGGTAGAGGGCCGCCAATGAAGGCACCGTTTGACGAAGGTGGCAGAACAGGAGGTGGCTGTGGGAGGATAGGGCGCAGGTCTCTCTTGGCTTTATCTGCCCGGGAGGGCCTGCCTCGCTTTTTGGGTCCCTCTTGGGAGAGCGTCTGCTGTTGGTGCACTGGGTTCGCACTTGTTGGCCGAGGAAGTATCGCTATATGGGGAGATAAGGACGCCGGCGGAGGGGCGACGTGCTCCACGCCATGATGGACTGGCTCGTGGCGCTCCGATGTTGCCGGCCGTTTTGCTTGATGTTCGAAACTGATGTCTTCCCAAGGCTTCCGTTTTAGCGACGGCGCAGCTATTGACATTTGGCTCGCTGCCTCCATGCACTGGTGCATAGTACGGCCTGCGTACTTGGTTAGCATCGGGGTTCATCATCAGCCTTCGTCCCGACTCGGCCGTCTCTTACCGGATGGCAGCTGCATGTACATCCAATTGGGCTCGATTTGACTCGACCTCACAAATGCAGCCAGTACATCTGCGTCTATAGAGCTGTTCTTAATCATCTCTGCAAGCACAAAGCGCTGAAGCGATTCGACAGGTTAGAGTTTGAGTCTTGCTGTGACAGGGCGTTCAGATATATCTTTGGCTCACCTTCTCTCTATCTTCGAAAGGCGCTTCCATCACGCCGGAAATTCTTGTCCAAATTTCAAAGCCGAAACGAGCGTGGCATCAAATAAGTATAGGATATAGGATACTTGTAGCGAGGCATTTGAATCTGTTCTGCGAAGGACCCAGGTGAAACTAATCAAGGCGATTATTGGTAGCAAAAGGGTAATTGAGCCAGTCGTGGGAGCGCTGGACTCGAAGTATGGAATAATAGAGACCAAAGAAATTGACTTGGTGTATGAATGCCCGCTTCAAAAAATAATCTTCATCACATTCTCGTAGTTGCGAGAGGGAGTAGGAATTCCGGCCAAAACAAGTGCTCCTAGGATAGACCCATAAGAGGAAAACGCGAAATGCTGGCAGAGACAACAATAATTTGTTTGTTTGGTGGCCGTCAGAGTCGGAAGCCTTTATTAGTGGGGTTAGGCTGACGTGTGAGAAGCTCGGCCATGTAGGAATTGGCTGCCATATAAATATTACCAAGCAAAGGCGCACGGCAGTGGTAGGAACAGGCCAAAGGGGGCGATCCGGGACCAGCAATCAAGGACAGGACAGAAGTGAATATCAAGGACAACCCGCCGGTATTTACAATGCACAGTCGTCGAGGGAAACCGCGAAAGAGCCCGGCCGGGTGCGCAGTTTGCCCTGGGAGGAGGAAGTGTATTTATGAATGAATGAGGGTTGCAGGTGTGGCGGAGATCACCCAAGCAGCCGACCAAGTGGACAAAGTAATGGGGGAGGGGCTATTGCTCTTTCTTCCAAGGGATACGAGGCAGTGCTGGGCCGAGAACCAAAGGCATCCAGGCTGCAAAGGAACTGGTGAAGCGAACGTTACGTCGTCAAGTCCGGCCAGGGGGAGGGAGGGAACTTCTCTCGGGCCTCTGGGTCTGCACGTTTCAAGAGAACAAGACCAGAAGCGGTTCGTGCGGGCGGGCAGAGGCTTGAGCCTTGATATGTAGGGCGTGTGCTGCTTGGATGCCGTACGTGGTCGATATAACCGGGCGAGGAGACCAGGTAATAAGGGCGGCCAAGTAAGGTAGCAGTCAGGTAGGCAGTTAGATACGTAGCTGGAGACGTAGATGACTGGTTCCCGAGAGTAGGGAGAGGGCGAACGGGGGGCGCAATGAGAGGCGCAGGGGGGAATCTCGACCTCGGAGGCGGAGAAAGCTGCAAGGTCTCGCCGAGTCGTCTGGCTGCTGCAATCACGGCATGCACACAGGCTGGACAAGACTGACAGGAGAGGCCCACCGAGGGCGACTGGCACCGAGTTGTTTGGCCGTCCGTAGGCAAGACTCAACGGAGCATTGTCCCTTGGCGTTGAGGGCAGTGGTCGTACATGGGAGCTGTCGGTCTCGTGCAGGTCCGGTGGGGGGCGTTTGCTTGTATGACGCGGGGCGACTGGCCTCTGCCGAAGGAGACGGCGGCTGCGTTCGGCGGGAGGTAGCACTAGTCGAGGGCAGGATGTGCTGCAGGATGAATAACAACCGCAGTGGTATTAAGAAGGCGGGCTAGCCTGAGGGAGGGCAGACAGGAGCAGGCAGGCGAGCAAGGAGCTGGCCGGGCTGCAGGGATGGTGCTGGGAAAAATATGCTCCTAGCGATATATCATGTGCCACAGGACGGAGAGGGATGGAGGGAATGGATGGCATGGCTCACCTCACTCACCTGCGCATGCCTCCAATTAGCGCCGCATCCCCTTCCTGTCGGCAGCAGTGTTCGCACGGGTGGCGATCCGTAGCATTTTCGACGACGGCCAGGGGCGGCCAATCGCTATACATGGATACGAGCGAGGGTTGCAGACGGAGCAGGATGGCACAGGCCAGGTGGATTAGACAGTGAGCGAGCGAGTGGACGGCTGAGTAGGGGACCTCGGTGCCGCAGCCAACCAGACCGACAGACAGGATGGCGATATCCACAGCCTCGCCGTGCAGCAAAGACAGACGCAGGCGAACGGACCTGAGTCGTGCGGTGCGTGCTGATCTCGGTCGGTGGAGGGTGGTATTGCTGGGCGGCAGACGCACGCTTGTCTGTTTGGCAGGTCGGTTCTGGAGGCGTTTCGTCTCCCGCAGGTTGCGGCCTGCACTGCTGCTTGCCACGGGCCATGGACGGGCAGCTGCATCTCCATGCAAAGTGAGCAGCGCAGAAGCAGGCAAGCGCGTGCGCATGGCCCCCCGTGACCAGCCCATCGCATCCATCCCTCCATCTCCAGACAGCTCAGCACCAGCACAGCGCACCAAAGACTGCTCCGTCGAGTCCGCCCACCCCACCACCCGTTTGCTCATCATGCAGCTGGCCTTGTCGAGCGTCTGTCGCCAGCAGCCGAATCGCGGCGCCCTCTTTCACCGAATATTCCATTGTGTCGCCAACTGCCGCTGGCCACCAAACTCGGCCCACCCTCCCTCCAGCCCGTCTCCCCAACGGGCCATGACATGGGCCCATCCAGGCCCATCAGGGTAACTCCCCGATCCTGAGAGACAACGACTATGCCGAACTGATCGACCAATCCCGCAATGGGAACATAACAAACTCCCGCGTGCCGGCCGCGCCCTCTGCTGGCCCTGGGTTGGGAGACTTGTCCAACATCATGATCAACGGCACCCTGCCACCCTGTTTCACTCGTCTCGCTTGCCTTGGTAGGGCCGCATGTGTCCCTACTAACGCCAGAGCCCCTCCCCGTACCATGCCATCCAAGGCCTATAGCGCGTCCATTAGCCTTGGGATCCTGCAGCTATCTCTCCTTCGCGTCTTGGGTGTCTCATGTGCTGATTGCGCTGCAGGCCAGCACTAATATTGTCCGGCACCTGTCACACGGGCAGCCATTATCGTCAGTCAGTCAATACATCCGTCCAAGGTGTGTGTGGCGCACCGTCTCGACGCAGCGGGTGGCTTGCACTGGATTGGACCACCAACCCAATCATCTTGGCAGCCTCCTGTGCCTGTCATCCCTCCGCTGCAACCACATACATAAGTCTGCAGCCAGCTGGGAGATCAGCAGCGCCATGGCTTGGGCTGGGTGTCATCCTCGACTCTGTTTTTCTTTCCTTTTGGAACCCAACCTCAGATCCAGGCCCAATACGCCTGCTCCCGCCGTCGCCATGTATCAATAACGAGCGGCTGTCAGCATGCCCCGCGCACCCTTTCAGCTCTCCCACAGCCTATTTGGGACTGGAGCCCGACATGGGCTTCCCGGTTGCATGCGCTCGCGCTCCCATCTGAGAGCGGTGCAGGTTTCTCTGGTCCATCCACATCCTGCTTGCCGTTTGTCCATGTGCGTACGACATTCTGTGCTGCTGTCACGGAGAGCGCAACTGTCGGTGCGCGTCAATCAACGCTGCTCTTGGTGGGGAAGCGCTGGAAGCTCACTGGATGTCGTCTCACCAATCAAGTGTGAGGAACGGCATGCTGCACAGTCCAATCCAGCAGTTCGTCACATATGACGGGTTTCCAATCAGAATGCAGCCAAGGGATGGAATAGGCCACGAGGCCATAAGCTGATTGATTGGGAATCAATGCCCTTTGCGGGCATCTGATCGATCGCGTGGTGCAGCCGCGAACCACCCCAGAACCATGGCTGAAATCAAACCTTTGTCTGAATAGTTGCTCCCGACCGTCCTCAACATGCAGCCAATCTTTGGAAACAGCGGTGGCCCATCTCATACATATATATACCCATAGCCGACTTCTTCTCCTCTCCGAGAAATCGGCACTGGAAACCATGCACAGTGAGCTGGCACGAGGGACAGGCTCGCCACAGGCCAAAGCCCCACTCGTACAACGCATCAAGCTCGATCAACCTGCCATGTAGGTAGGTGGCCTGGCACGACCAAGCTAAATTGACCCTTGGAAGAGGCGGACAATGAGAAGGATTGCTGCTCCGGCTCTCTACACTAATACGAAACCGATGCACCACATCGGCAAGTTCCAGGCATGCCAGGAAACCCAGAAGAAGCCCACCTTGCCGAATACCGGTGAGCAGGTTGTGCGGCTTGCTTACTTGGGGTTGAGCCGCTCTTACATGCGACGAAGTCAGCAGTTCGCACACCAATCGCAACGTTCAGGAATTGGATTTCCTCGCCTTTGCTTGCCCCGAGCGATTGGTGAACAATTACTGCCCCTGATCTGGTTGCACTAACAACACCTAGTTGCACCTTTCTGCGTGTGTATCCAGGAACTGCTAGCACGCTATCCACCTGACGTAAAGCAAGAAATCCTACACCACATAGAGGTGAAAGGCGGTCAAGAACAGGCACTCACCCCAACACCGGTGCACAGTAAGAAAGGTTGTTGACTGTCTCGCTTTGTTTCGTTTTGTTACAACAGCTCCCGGTGCCCAAGACCGGTCGGCGGAAAAAGGCCGCTGGCCAAGAAACCCCATCCATGTGTATCAAGATGCGCCATGCCCTCTGAGCACCAGATAATCCCTTTTTTTTTCCCACACCAGACCGCAGCCCTGGGTTCAACAAGAGGAGCAGGAAGTTGTGGGCCAATCGTTTCGTTCCTTCATGCTGAATAGTCTCATTTCGTTGTTTCTGCGTCAAGCAAGGGATGAACAATATTGATAGGCCACCATATGAATTCCTACCTCCTACATAGGCGATCTCAATCACAACCTTTCTTTTCCAGATCCTCCGACCGTGCGCCAGATCCTTGTAATGTATTGCCGATATGAAATTATGCCCTCAGCCGCGTTTCATTTCATACCCGCCTCCGACTCGCGCATCAATCAAATGCCCCCATCTGTCCATCCATCTATTTGGCGCTGTGGCCTTGAGATGCAGCTATCCCATGGTGGATGATCGGCCCTCGGCGACAGGCACGGGAGACGCCCTCAGCCACCTACCCAATCCCTCTGCATCGAGGGCTGCGATTAGCTGCCATCCTTAGCTCACCCTCTGCCTCTTACGCCGATCGGGGTCAAGAAAATCCGGGGTTAGCCGTGTGTGCATGTCCGTATGTATAAGTGTGGATGCATTGGCTGGGCTGGACTGACTCGGGAGCCAGGACAGGAATGAGCGCCCAGATTGGATGAACGCGGGCAGTACGTACCTTTTTCTAGGTCCAGCGTCCTCGGATTTCTTCCCCGTTTTCCACACGAAATCCCCAGGACGGCCGATTTTCGATCTCCCTCGAACCTCTCCCTCCTCGCCACGCCGCCGATTCACGAGTGAGCCTGCCGAGACGGCCAGATGTATATCGCACTCGTCCGAAAAATCACGCGTTCCGAGCCCCTGGGCCTCTCCATCATCTAATTGCCGTGCTGCCATCGCATCGCTCCACACGCGCGCATCTCTCGAAACGGGCTTCTCACTCTCTACGCGCCCTTCGCACCCGAACAGCAAGCGCTACCTTACGCAGCACTACCTCCTTCCCTGGGTGGCCGGGCACTTGCATCGTCCTACAAATTCAAGCCGGCTACCTACTGCTTGCTTCCGATCGCCCGCCAACCGACCTGCACCCACAATACATCCAGGTCAGAGAACGCACATATATCCTGGGCTTCAGATGCTCTAATGGGGGATGATGGGCATGCACTCACCAAAATGGGAGGGATCAAACTTGAGGATGACGCACCAACCGTCAACGGTCATGTGGGAAAGGAAGACGCACCGCGCGCGTCCGGTGTGAAGGATGCATCCGGACCCTCGCCACTCCCATCATTGTCGATGGAGGGAGCCAAGTCCCGCAGCGGCAGTGTCGAGACGCCCGACTCTCAGCGGCCACCGCGCCTATCCCGGAAGGCGTCTCAGAAACGCGACTTGCCACAAGGCGAGCCTCTGCTTTTCGAACACCTCCCTGACGTGACGGTTGACTCGTGCAAGACCTTCCAGGCTATTCCCGACTGTCTCTACGGGTCGAAGCATTTGGGATCCACAGACAATGACGCTCTGGATTGCGAATGCAGGGAAGACTGGCGTAAGTGCTTTCTCTCTCCCCCATGTCTCAGTCATCTCATTTATCGTGAGATGTGCAACGATATTTTGAGATGCACTCTGCTAACCTCCCCTCGCAGAGGATGGCGAAAATCATGCTTGTGGTGAGGACTCTGACTGTATCAATCGAGCTACCAAAATGGAATGTAGCGTAGATGATGGGAACTGCGGCGGCGGCTGCCAGAATCAACGGTTCCAGCGCCGCGAGTACGCTCGTGTCTCTGTCATCAAAACTGAGAAGAAGGGATTTGGCCTGCGTGCTGACTATTCGCTCCACGTAAACGACTTCATCTACGAGTACATTGGTGAGGTCATTAATGAGCCAACGTTCCGTCGGCGGATGATGCAATACGACGATGAAGGTATCAAACACTTCTACTTCATGTCCCTCAACAAGAGCGAGTTTGTGGATGCCACGAAAAAAGGAAACCTGGGCCGCTTCTGCAACCACTCATGCAACCCCAACTGCTACGTCGACAAGTGGGTGGTGGGCGAAAAGCTCCGGATGGGCATTTTCGCTCTTCGCGACATCCAAGCTGGCGAGGAGTTGGTGTTCAACTACAATGTTGACCGCTATGGTGCCGAGCCGCAACCATGCTACTGTGGAGAGGCCAACTGTGTTGGTTTCATTGGTGGCAAGACCCAGACCGAGCGGTCCACCAAACTGGCCCCGGGCATGGTTGAAGCTCTGGGTATCGATGGCGGTGAAGTATGGGAGGCAGCTGGTGCTAAGAAGCCACGCAAGAAGAAGCCGGAGGAAGAAGATGAGGAGTATGTCAGCCGCATCCAGCCACGTACTTTGGACGAGGACGATGCTCGCAAGGTCATGGCCACCCTCATGCAATGCAAGGAGAAGTGGATTGCCGTCAAGTTGTTGCAGCGAATTCAAGACTGCGATGAAGAAAAAGTCATCCACTGCGTCATGCGCATGCACGCTTACCAAATTCTCAAGAATGTGCTCAATACGTTCATTGAGGACTTCAACGTCGTTTTACAGGTGTTGTCGATCCTTGATAAATTCCCCCGGATGACACGAAACAAGATTCAGGATTCCAAGATCGAAGCCTCGATCGAGCCATTAACGCATGTCGACGACGAAAATGTCACCTCCAAAGCCAAGAAGCTACTTGACGACTGGAGTAAGTTGGAGGTCGCATATCGTATCCGACGACGGAAGTTCGATCCGAGTCTCCCGAACCAAAACTCAAATTCGTTTGAGGATCGACGGGGCGGACAGGTTCGAGAGGAAGAAGCAGCCCAAAACAAGACTGCCTCTCCCCAACCCCTCGATGCTCCTCGAGGGCCTCGCAACAATCAACCCCAAAGGCAGATACCTCAAGGATACTTCGCAC